AGAGTTAGACATGACTGAAGTGCTTTATTATGCACACATGAACACATTCAAACTATATCTCAATAAACAGTTAAAAGGAAGTAGTAAATAAGCACAACCAAACAAGCAAAAAACTCAGTTCCTTCCTTGTGGGGTTGATATTCCAGTGGGTACAGATTATTAAACAGACAAAGAGAAATGTTGAGATGGGGGTGGTGTGAAGCCAAGAGCTCTGGGGAAACACAAAGAAAGCCCAGTTTGGCTAGTATTTGGGGAATCAGAAGAGGATTTCCAGAGGAGATGACATCTCAGCTGAGAGGCAGTAGCCAGAGAAAGGGGGATGAAAGAGAAATATATGCTGAGCTCCAACTCTGTGTTAGAAATTACATGGTAGAAACATGAGGAAGAGTTAATCCCAGGCCTTGAGAAGCTCAGGTTAGTGGAGGGAGCATGTAAATAGGACATTATAGATAGTTATTATATTATGTGGTAGTGCAATGACAGAGTTGGATATAGGGGCTGCGGAAGTAACAAAAAGGGGAAAATAATCGACTTGAAGGAGGCAGTTCCATTTTGGCCTAATGAGCTGTAGAACTGTGATCTTCCAAGTGCCTTCTATGCAACCTGACCTCACCCCAGCTTGCTCCTGCTCAGTTACTTAGTTCTGTCCGACTCTGTGCAACCCTATGGACTATAGCCAGCCAGGCTCCTCTGTCCATGGGATTTTTCAGGCAAGAATACTGGAGTGGGTTTCCATTTCTGCCTCAAGGGGATCTTCCCAACCCAGGGGGTTCGAACTCACTTCTGCTGTGTCTCCTGCATTGCAAGCCAGTCATCGGTGAAGACCCAGGATTCAGTCAAGCTACCCGCTCCCTCCCATCTATGTCTACCTTTACCCATGGGAAAGACCTGCAAGATCAGAGCAGCTTAGGGAAGATGTGAGATGGAGAGTGGGGAGGAGGTGAGGGATAGGGCACAGCAAGGCATCCCCGACAAAGAGTAATTCCCCTCAGGGAGCCCTAGTGATCCATTTTTATTCTCAACAGAGCTTGGAGCTGCCCAGTTCTCTTTCTCCAAGCTCACTTTATCATCTTAGTGGATTCCAACCTTTGCTAGCATCTTCTTCTGCTGATCGTTTCTGGCAGTTCGGTCGCTTGTCACTTCCCGAGAGAGACATCTGCCAGAAACCTCCTCTTGCATGCCCCTCAGGGCTCTGCTTGGCAGACGCCTCCAGCCGCATTCCCCACGTGTCTGGACGAGCACCTGCCTGAGGCCTCCAGAGATGGAGAACCTGCTATTCTAAAGGTTTTCTACAGGTTATAAATCAAAAATAAGAGGAAAGTTTTAAAGAAATGAATACAATGTTTATACGATATTTGGTACCTCTCAGCTATCTATTTAATTTTGTGTGTATGTGTACGCACACAAGGACACATGTATTTGCACACATATGTGTATTTTTTTTCCAGTATGAACTTTTGTTTAAAATAATCCAGAATTCCTGTTTCTGAATCCCTTATTTGACACACATGCTCTGCCCAGACACAAACCAGAGAAGGCTTGATTTTGGCCTCCAAGTTTGTGCTTTCATGTCTGCAGACACAGGATAACAAGTCTGCGCTCAGTGGTAAAGGGAAGGCATTCATTTTCACTGTAATTGATAACAGTTTACTGAAGATGCTACCCAGGGAAGCTTCCATTGGAAGAGAAATCGACTTTCAGCAACTCAGTACTTCAAAGACTCATGACGACCCCAGGTAACAGAAAAACACTACTTAGGCCAATCACCCACTTGAGACTGCCCATCCTTCTGGGAAGTGGAAACTTGAGATACAATGTCTGTATCAGCTTCATCTCAGAATCCATAAATAATTCATGGAAGATTTCCATTTATTGATAGAGTAGGTGGCCAAAAGAATTCCGGTTGTTTACCAGTAACAAGGCCCCGGAAACTCCATCCTATTGAAATGATTCCTGTTCTTGGCAGGAGTAATTGTGCTAAGGTTGTATCCACACCCTTTTAAAAACATGCCATTGATTCTGCATAACTAATGCGAACATTGGAATGGGGACTCTTTAGAGACAAGTATGGACAGAGACCAGGTTCTTCCCAGGGGGTATGCACATGTGATGGAAACTGGTGAACCCAAATCTGTGTCAAAAATTTGATGACTAAACTCATTTTAGGCTACAAAGGCATTGTTTCAATTCCCTTCTGTGTGATTCTTAATTCAGACCAAATTTATCTTATAAGTAGAAGAAGTAGCTGCAAATAATTTCATGCCTTGCCAATGACATGGGCACCAATTTTTAACATAAGGCTCATAAACTGCTTTTATGATACAGTAAAACTGGTGTGCTCATGCCCATTAAAACATAAGCTTCATGTTACATGTAATTAAGGTGAGGAGGAGAGAGTAAAAGTGTAAGTTTTAAAATGTATCTTGTATTACATACTAAATGCATGCATAAAATACCGCACACATTCCATTTCAAAGGCAAAGCTAAGGATAAACAGTAGAGTGAATGACCCCATAGGTGAAAAAAAGAAATGAATTGAAAAATGGATTGCTCTTTCAAGTTCTCCAGAGGTTATACTATATTGGTGGTTAGAGGTCAGTTTCTATTTTTTCTGATTGTAAATAAGAAGATATCATTAAAGGCACATTCAGTTGCTATTTGCTTAGTCTAAGCTGTAATTTTTGGTCCAATAAAGTTTGAAAATTATTATTTATTTTTTCCTTAGGAATGAAACCCTCCAAGTGACTTGTGTATTAAGAAGAGGTTTGAAGAGATGTCCAGGGTCTGTCAAAGACAGCTGGAGAGGGTGTTCATAATTTTTATCCGTCCCAGAAGCCATTGCGGGAAGAGGCTCTCTTCTCTATGTAGCCCCCTTTTCTGACCAAGTCTCATGATGATGGGCCTAATGCATAAACATAAGCCATACTGGTTTCAGTGCTGGCATTTTATACCATCCTCTCATCTCCATGTATTGATTGCATATATTGACGTCAAGAGTCTTGAATACCAAACCTTCAGCTGTTAACATGAGAAAATCTACAGGAGACCAAACAACCTCTTCTACTGAAGTGGAGATTAGTGGATATATGGTTGAACATATGTTACAACATATGCCCATTTTATGTTCATGTTAAATTTTTTTTCTAATGTTTGAATTAATAATTTAATTTTAAGAGCAGACAAATTATAGGCCAAATAAAAAATTAAATTATAGACTGTAAATAAAATAAAAATTTTGACCTTGATGCCATAGACTAAGATTTTAATCTATAGATTTTGAACAGATTTTATTATTTAAAAATATGGAAATACAATTGAATAACATATGTAAATAAATCACATACCATCACCATTAAATCATTTAAACTAGCATTAAAAGCCACATCAAATTGATGTATTTCACCAGCCAACCATAAAATAAGAAAAATCACTATGAAGTTGTTGAGAATAAGTTGAATACATTTGATACTTATGACACCATGTTGTTTCTGAATTCTGATGTACCTATGGTCAACTGTAATCACTTTTCTTTTAAAAAACTCTAAACATTTTAATGATTTTTATACGAATTATTTTTCTATGTAATAAAAATAATAAGAACCTACACAAACATTTCTTAGGAAAATAACTTGATTAGATATATTAAATGTCTCCTCATAACCTAATCTAAAAGGTAGTTTTCCTCCAGATATATTACACAAAGAGTTGGAAAAAAGACTTTTAAAAAACTAAGTGAAAACAGTCTTTTGCAGAGAGTGCTATGGACTTGGGAGAAAATACCAGTCAACATAAATCAAATTCAAAACCTGATATACCTAAAGATGATGATCCTTTTATAGTGTTTTTTCTAATCATGGCTGCTTTCATTTTGCTCCTGCCATTAGCTGGGTTTAAGTAATTATCTTTATTTACACTGCAGAGAGACTTACAAATTGTAAATACTCTCCATAAGTTTTAAGAATTTGTATTTGATTGTGTACTGAGTATGTTAAAGCATAGCGGTCCAACATTTAATAGAGCTATAAAACAAATTCTTTATATTTCAATAAACATAAAGAAAACAAATGGAGCATGATTTTCAGGAGGGGACTGTATGGTCTGAATCAGTTAGAAAAAAATAAGTTCTACAGCTCCCTACACCAAGTGACTGAACCATGAAAGAAATATGGAAGTTGATAATAACAGTTACTCCAGCAATAAAAACATGATAAAAGGCTGTTTGACAGTATGAAGGCCTGGAAGCTGTGCCAAATACCAAATCTAGTTTGTAAGGGCTGGCAGTATCCTACTGTCTTTAGTAGGTCTTTGGGGTTTCTGACAGCTTTTGGTCCATCTCTATAAGTTGAAGTGATCTTTCAAAATGCCTTAGTTTTGAAGAGTAGTCAAAATCATTTGAGCTTTATATGCATATTTTAAAACAACAATACAGCGGTATTGGCAGAGCAATTACTCCTGCGTTGGTCAAAATCTGCTGTGGTGTAATATCATTTTGTACTTGGATACGTGTTTTTGAAGTTATCAGCTCATATGAACTTACTCAAAATCTTGTCTGTTCATTTTAACTATGAAAGTGAAACAGGAGAGTGAAAAAGTTGGCTTAAAACTCAGCATTCAGAAAACTAAGATCATGGAATCCGGTCCCACTACTTAATGGCAGATAGATGGGGAAACGGTGGAAACAGTGGTTGACTTTATTTTTCTGGGCTCCAAAATCACTGCAGATGGTAACTGCAGCCATGAAATTAAAAGATGCTTACTCCTTGGAAGGAAAGTTATGACCAACCTAGACAGCATATTAAAAAGCACAGACATTACTTTGCCAACAAAGGTCCGTCTAATCAAGGCTATGGTTTTTCCAGGAGTCATGTATGGATGTGAGAGTTGGACTATAAAGAAAGCTGAGCACTGATGAACTGATGCTTTGGAACTGTGGTGTTGTAGAAGACTCTTTAGAGTCCCTTGGACTGCAAGAAGATCCAACCGGTCCATCCTAAAGGAGATCAGTCCTCATTGGAGGGACTGATGTTGAAGTTGAAACTCCAATACTTTGGCCCTCTGATGCGAAGAGCTGACTCATTGGAAAAGACCCTGATGCTGGGAGGGATTGGGGGCAGGAGGAGAAGGGGATGACAGAGGATGAGATGGCTGGATGGCATCACCAACTCGATGGACATGGGTTTGGGTAGACTCCGGGAGTTGGTGATGGACAGGGAGACCTGGTGTGCTGGCGGTTCATGGGGTTGCAGAGAGTCGGACATGACTGAGCGACTGAACTGACTGAACTGAATTCTAGTCACTGATTTTGATGACATTTTGGTCTTTTTTTTTATAAGATGAAAATTCGCAGAGAAAACTTTAGATACTGATGATTCTTTCAGTAATTGCTCAAACTAAGGAGCTGATAAAATAATATTTAGTAAGATCCTCGCCCTGATCATCTCTCTATGTTCTGAACTCATTGCTGTATTAGATACCAGCCACTCCCCTTCACCCACTCCCACCACACACCCTCTCCCAGCCAAAGCATTGTGGCTTTGAAATAACTCTTACTGGGTTACATAATTTTTGACCAGTTTCTGTATTTCTTCTTGGAATCATTCAGTGAGATGAAACTAAAAAAAGAAAGTTCAGGTGCAGAACAGCATTATATTTTTTCTTCACAAACATTACCAGAACGATTTCCATCTCAAAAATTGGTGATTTTATCCAGTGCTTTCTAAGTGGGAATTGTTCTGTAGGGCAGACTGCAGCACAGAGACACCTACTTGAAGAAGATTAAACGATCCAATGTAGAGCTGATGGTGAACTGTCTTGTTTGCACGTCCCTAGGGGATCCTCTTTGCTTACTTGGATGGCTGGCAAATAGTGTACTGTGCCTTTAAACACACACACACGCACAATCAACAAGGATGCTTGGGAATGCTAATGCAATTATTCTTGACTTTTAATATTATAAATGTTTTCTTTAGTTTAGATTGGATACCAATCAGTTCTTGCCAAAAATAATTCATTTAGCTTTAACTTTTACCTCAAAAATATATTAAAATACCTAATGTATTTTTCTCATTCAAATTATGAACTTGTCAAACACACACAAATACACATGCACAAACAAACACACACCTATTTGCTTAAGGTAAGTAAAAAGTGTTTCTTTTTCAATCAAAGAGTTAACTAAAATGATTCTTCGCATTTCATGTCTTGCAGACAAAACTCACCACTGTATTGTATTCAAAAGCTTTGTCACTGTAGAGCAGGGAGTTCATCTGATCAAAATTTATAGAATATTGGGGTTGGAAGGAAGTATATGGTCATATTATTAAACTATACTTTAGTAGCTGAGTCTACAGGATGATATTTTTAGCGTATGGTGGTGGTTCTTTAGTCGCTAAGTCATGTCTGACTCTTGCAACCCCATCGGCTGCTCTGTCCATGGGATTATCCAGGCAAGAATACTGGAGTGGGTTCCCATTTTCTTCTCCAGGAGATCTCTTCCACCCAGGAATTGTACCCAGGTCTCCTGCATCACCAGTGGATTCTCTACCGACAGAGCTAGGAAGGAATTCCTATATGGTGTATACCTCCAGTAAAAAGGAAAATAAAGCATATTCTCCAAACAAGGATTATTACTAGTAAGACATTTATTAATTGTATTATTACAGTTGTTTCTAAAATCCACTACTATTTCAATGGTAAAGAGGTAAATGCAAAGCTAACTTCGGTCAGAAGTATATTACAGTCAGGTTGGCAGTAAATTATAAGAAACATCCACTGACTATAATCCTGTTACAGAATATGTAATACATTAAAACAGGATGGAGGAGCTACATGAATTGGCAACATTTTATATCATTAAAAAAGCACTAAAAACCAAAAAATGATGCTTACAAATAGCTGTAGATACTAGAAAATATTTCATTTTAAAAGTTAATTCTGTACCGCTCATTTAAAAAATTTATCACCTGTTTTTAGACACAGGTATTAATTGTTTATATCAAGTGATATTTGTGCTTAGATATAATTTAAGACCGTTAAATATAAATTTATGTTTACTTTCATATAAAAATATATATAAAAATAGAGTATTTAAAGGAAGTTTATATTTATACTAAAGAACTGATGAATCAAAATAGATTTGTTTTTGGTATAGTATTGGAATTGAGGTATTTGTGCATTTGGTAATTTCAGCTAAGCACTGAATTAGCCCTCTCAGTATATTTTCCCCAAAAGAAAAATAATCGTTTAAGAGTCATTGTAACTGTGAGATGTTATCTCACAACAAAGCTTTTGCACAATAAAGAAATTTACCATTTTAAAATATAGAAGAGAAAGTTTTCAATTACTAGGATTAGATATGTTATATATATATGCCACAGTTTTATAAAAACTAATCGTATGTCTATTCTAAATTTGGATTAGATACACTCTCTCAGGAAAATCAAAATATGTTTACTAGCAACAGTAATATTTGTGGAAATATATGAATGCTTTCTGGATATAAATGCTTATGCAGTTGAGAATGCTTAATACTTTGCAAAATATTTACATAAAATATTAATATAATCACAGTCTTAAATTATATAGGGCTCTAATAGCAAACAAAAGCTTTTTTCTTAAGTAATATCATCAATGAAACATAATAAAGTAACTCATAAGGAACTATATCTTGTTTTTCTCACTTTAATATTACATACTTAATCAACTCAGACTTCAGTTACCCATCCAAGTTCATGGACAGGCTAGGAGGGAATGTTTATGAAAAGTAGAAAGAGTGCAAAGTTAAATATATTGGTGTTTTAACTGTAAAATATACTTCCTATTTCTTTCATAGAATCTCTTAGAATTCCCTGGAGGAACATTCCTGTTCTTTTCCTTTCAGTTAAAGGATTTAAAAATCTAGGAAGAAACTGTTTTCATAAGCATTAGATTCACAAAGCCTAAACCCTCATCTATGCCACGTTTTCTCCTGGTAAGGGCAAGCACAGCAAAATCCCTACTGGCAGGTGAAATGTAATTCCTCAAACCATTTTCAATATTAAGGTACCATTAAAGATGATAACACAATACTCAAGAACATGATCTTTTCCCCCACTTATCAAATGTCTATATTTCTCTTTATCATCACAGTGCAATACCAGCCCACAGTGGATCTAGTTTATGATTATATTTCAGGTCACCTTTTTCTAGTTCTGTCTTTCATCTTGATACCAACTGATTTCCAAGTGCACATCCTGATTTTATAAAGCTGTAGAAAAAAGTGTAATGACTTTTTTTTTTTTTTAGCTAAATGTGCATCAGTGTGTATGTGTATGCTCATGCACCTGAGTGTGTGTGGTAGAACCAAAACACACCTGATGACCAGGATTTGGTGCTTAGACCATTGTCCGGGGGAGTGGCTTGTATCCAATTCCAAGTTCAGTCCTTCTGCAGGGCCTCCAGAGTTCTTTCACTGGCACACATCCTGCTGAGAAGGATTTCAGAGCAAACCTGATTAATTGGACCTCTGACATGAAACGGTGATTGAACATTTGTCATAGAGTCTTGTCGTCTTTGTCGTAATTTGCTTTGATTGCTGAAATATTTTCCCACAATATGATTTCTTGATTGTTTCATTTTAAGAAAGTGATCTTCTTTGGATAATTTTGATTTCACCACCTGCAAATAAAAGAAAAAAATAGTGAGGCAAAATCAAGGACATTTGAATCCAAACTATCGCACAATTGCACTCATCTCACATGCTAGTAAAGTAATGCTCAAAATTCTCCAAGCCAGGCTTCAGCAATACATGATCTGTGAACTTCCAGATGTTTAAGCTTGATTTAGAAAAGGCAGAGGAACCAGAGATCAAATTGCCAGCATCTGATGGATCATTGAAAAAGCAAGAGAGTTCCAAAAAAACATCTATTTCTGCTTTATTGACTATTCCAAAGCCTTTGACTGTGTGGATCACAATAAACTCTGGAAAATTCTGAATGAGATGGAGATACCAGACCACCTGACCTGCCTCTTGAGAAATCTGTATGCAGGTCAGGAAGCAACAGTTAGAAATGGACATGGAACAACAGACTGGTTCCAAATAGGAAAAGCAATACATCAAGGCTGTATATTGTCACCCTGCTTATTTAACTTATGGGCAGAGTAAATCATGAGAAATGCTGGGCTGCATAAAGCACAAGCTGGAATCAGGGTTGCTGGGAGAAATATCAATAACCTCAGATATGCAGATGACACCACCCTTATGGCAGAAACTGAAGAAGAACTAAAAAGCCTCTTGATGAAAGTGAAAGAGGGGAGTGAAAAAGCTGGCTTAAAGCTCAACATTCAGAAAACTAAGATCATGGCATCCAGTCCTATCACTTCACGGCAAATAGATGGGGAAGCACTAGCTGACTTTATTTTTTGGGGCTTCAAAATCACTGCAGATGGTGACTGTAGACATGAAATTAAAAGAGCCTACTCCTTGGAAGGAAAGTTATGACCAACCTAGACAGGACATTAAAAAGCAGAGACATTACTTTGCCCACAAAGGTCTGTCTAGTCAAGGCTATGGTTTTTCCAGTAGTCATGTATGGATGTGAAAGTTGGACTATGAAGAAAGCTGAGCGTCAAAGAATTGATGCTTTTGAACTGTGGTGTTGTAGAAGACTCTTGAGAGTCCCTTAGACTGCAAGGAGATGCAACCAGTCTATCCTAAAGGAGATCAGTCCTGGGTGTTTATTGGAAGGACTGATGTTGTAGCTGAAACTCCAATACTTTGGCCACTTGATGCGAAGAGCTGACTTACTAGGAAAGACCCTGATGTTGGGAGGGATTGAGGGCAGGAGGAGAAGGGGACAACGGAGGAAGAGATGGTTGGATGGCATCACCGACTCAACAGACATGAATTTGAGTAAACTCCAGGAGTTGGTGATGGACAGGGAGGCCTGGTGTGCTGGGGTTCATGGGGTCACAAAGAATTGGACACGACTGGGTGACTAAATTGAACTGAAGAGCAGGATAACTAACTCACAAAGTTGAACAGCATCTCTATACACAGATGTTGCCCAAATGGCATGAGTATGACTGACATGATCAAGAATCAATGTAAATTATCTTTCAAACGGAAAAAGGTTGAAATGAAAATTTATGCTGCTTTTCTTACCTCAGGGCAACTGTCTCTAAGGCAAGTAAAGAGTCTCAGATGGTGTCTCTACCACACTGCTGTGAGTGTGTGTGTGTGCATATGTTAGTGTATTTAGGCTAGATGTTAACAAATAGAAGACACTGACATCTTGCTGAATCACTGATTCAAACATGGTACTCTAAACCTATCATGGCATCCTTTTAGAGAATGATAACTAAATGATAACTAAAATGATTTTCAAAGGAAAGAGAAAATTTTTTTTGCACTGCATACCCACAAGCTGGCACTGTTACAGTCATTGGTTTCACGTCTCTGAGAAAGGGGTAAGTTATGGAACCTGAAGGAGTTGCCTAAGTTCTATTACACTTATAGCTTTATCAATGTTTGTACATATGTAGATATATTTTTATCTTGAAATTGTTTTCATTAGGCAGTATAAACACTTATAAAGCATAGAAGAGTATCTCATAAAAAAGTTTCCTTCCCATCTCTGCTCTTATCTCCCGTCACTCAATTCCCTCCCCAGAGGCAATGTATATTTTAGTTTTTTTGCCATTCTCTTCACAGATATTTTAGGAATATCAACATGCACACATACAAACAAAAAGGACATATATATTGTCTATTTGTACAATATATAAAACGCAGCTCTGGTGAAATCCTATCATTGTCAGCTTTAATCACCGGGTTAATGTACCACAGGGTGTTAGCAACAAAAGTCAGAGAAAATGAGGTGGGGACCAAAAGAGACTGGGTTTCGGAGAGGGTTGAGAAGTAGGGAAAAGAGTAAATACTGGCAAAAATGTTTTGAGTGTGTTTGCAGATGAATAGAAAATCTTTTAATTTCATCATACTAATGCAATCGTAAGACATTACTTTCACTCAATATGGACACATTATTTATTTATTACTAATGATTAATGAAAGCAACACTAGCACCAAAAAAAAAAAAAAGAACACCAGCTTATATGGTTTTTAAAAATTCTTTTGAAGACTATGTGATGATTTAGGTACATATTTTTTGATCCCATATAAAAGAATGCAGTGAACACAGTTCTAACAATATAGAATATGTGAAAAAAGTAGCATTTTATTTGGAAGGTAAGTCTTTTTAGTTAAGTTTTGAGTGAGCAGAAACTATTTCAGAAGAGTTGTGTGAATAGAAAGTCTGTAACGATCTACCTGAAAAGGTTAAGGGCAGTCATCTTTGGGTGGAAGAATGACAGGCAGTTTAAAAGGTATTATTTGTACCTTTTTGGTCCTTACTTTTTAATTTTACTATAATAAATGTGCATTATTTTATAATCATAGAAACACTAAGCTATTCTCATTTTGAAGAAAAATATAACAGCAATATGTTTTAAAGCCAATTATACCCTGCTAAGCCCAAAGAAATGAATTGTTTTTCTGTCACTATGGGAGGTTTGGCTTTTCGTGATCAGGCCCCTCAGATGAAGTGACGCTTAAGAAGTTCAGTGAAGTCAGTGGGTTGTGGTGAGGAATCCTTCTGGATCATAATTTACAGCTCAATCTGCAGTTAGCCACTGATTAGTATTCCAGGTCCCAAAGTTGTATGTTTCTATTATGGGTCACCTTCCAACTCTGGTTATACGACAACATTAAATATGATAGGCTGGGGAGGTGCGCCAATGTTTTCCTGAAGGTTTTGTCCATTTTGGAGGTGGTTTGTATTCATCTATAGCAAGATTAGTGAACATTCTTAAGGAAGTTGACTTAAGGAAACACTTAAGTGTAAATAATGTAGTCAACCCTGAAAAAATATTATTCTAGTGTTCTGAAGCCAAAATAAGGTTAATTTTGTTTATATAATGTTAAGTTCTGGCTCTTGCAACTGCCTGATGATCTGCATGCTAATTGCAATGAAAAATAAAAGAAGATTCATCCCAATGCAGAAAGGTTCTATTCCTTAAAAATTATTTTAATGTTTTCTGTGATTTCAGGGTTGCATTTGATGTTGCATTACAAATGTTGGATACTAGTTTAGATGTTTACAGCAATCTTGAACATGATTCATAAAAGGGATATACAAAAATATCTATTTCCAGTGTATTTGTATACACTTGGGAGTAGTGTCAGTCTTTTGCCAGATCACATGATATAGTTTTATTTTTGATAAAACAGTTCTATTTTTAAATCACTAAGATAATCTCTGAGAAAAGAAGATGGAATGATGGGGATTCCCCCCCCCACACTCTGCAGCTTTTGAGGGCCAGTCTAATGCCTCCTACAGTGCCAAGGCTTCTATTATGGTATATAAGACTGATTCCTACCCATGATGCCAGGGATTAACCCAATACTTAACTCAGTTGGTTTCCTTTGAATACTATTTTTCAAGAAATTATCAAAGATAATAAATTTCCCAGTTCCTTTTGTTAAGCAGACAAACCTACAGAGAAAGAATGATTTCAATTTTGATTTGTCAAAATAAAGACATAAAAAATCCTCCCAAAATGCTACTGTAAATTTAATCTCATATCATTTAAAAAAATCTATCAGTACCATGTGCTGTATTGCTCTCTCTCTTTAGTTACTAAGTCGTGTCCGACTCTTGTAACCCCATGGACTGTAGCCTGCCAGGCTCCTCTCTTCTTGGGATTTACTAGCATATACAATTTATTTCAGGAATGTTAAGCTTCAATATTATGAAATATTTTGTCATAGAAGGTTACTGAAGAATTATTTGCAGCTATATGATGTTTGCCTGAAAACTCAAAGGAACCTACTGTAAAATAATGAAATATTTTAAAGTTAATATTTAAAAATTAAATAGCTTTTCTAGAATCTATCTACAACTAATAAGAAATAGAGAAAAGATTTCATTACAATATTAAAACAACTTCATCAAATTTGATGATGATCTATAGGGCATAGGTGAAGAATGCATCAACAATTTAATGAAACATAAAAGAAAACACAAATAAATATAAAGACATAACATGTCAAATCTTTCCAAATTAATTAAAGTGCTATTCCAATTTTAATCACAGAAGGATTGGGGGGGGTACATGACAAAGGAATTCTAAAACAGATCTCAGAAAATAAATGTAGGAAAATGGCCAAGACCATTTGGGAAGGAAAAAAGCAGCGGTGATGAGAGGAGATTTCAATACCAGATATTCATTCATCAAAGGGACTTGAGTTTAGCTTCAATCTACCACAGACTCAATTTGCTGGCTGTGTAAGCCAAGTATGGGCTTCCCAGGTGGCTCAGTGGTAACGAATCTGCCTGCCAATGCAGGAGATGTGGTTCGATCCCTGGGTCAGGAAGATCCCCTGGAGTAGGAATTGGCAACCCACTCCACCAGTATTCTTGCCTGGGAAATCCCACGGACAGAGGAGACTGGAGGGCTACAGTCCACAGGATTGCAAACAAGTCAGACATGACTGAGTGACTGAGCAAGCATAAGCTAAGTAGAAGCAAAATTCAACACTGAGAAAAAATAGGAGTTTTCACATTGCAGATTAAAATGTATTTTATAAATTGCCTGTTCCCTAAAAATTTTCATGGAAA